CACACACACACACACACAAAAGTAAAAATGTCTGTATAAAATGATTTCACTATTATTTAATTTGTTAAAAAATATAATAAAAAATGTAACATAAGTGAAACGCGCACGCGTACAAAGATTTATTTTGCAGTTATTATAACTATTTGATGTGATACCAGCATACCGTAATCGTATAATATCCGAGCATACATATATCAGTAGTACACCCTAATAATTCGACGAGACATATCTGATGCATAATCGTTTCTATCTGCGATACAAAACTGAAATTAAAATTATTACTTTAGTAATATAATATACTATGTGTGTATATATATATAAAATAATTTAATACACTATTACAGTTTTTAATATCATTTTTTGTTATGTGTAACTTTTTTATAACAGAGAAATTTAAACAAGACTTTGAAAGCTCTAACTACAAAACCAGTTAAACAATAAAAATAAAAGGATATTTTTTTAATTAATTGCTGAATCGGCGATTCAAATATTACAATTTCATTCCACTAATTTGAATTTTGATGGAAATACATATAAAAAATCAAATACATTTTAAAAGTCTATAGTGTATATATTAGTGTAAATATTACCTCAGTACACGGAGATGTTGCTCTACGATAATAGCCAATTTTCGTCGTGTGACCTTATATTCACTTTCTGTCTCGTCGACAAGTTCGTCCAATCTTATCATTAGAATGCTTAACTGGCCACAGGCATGCATGGCGAAGACCGCAGCGAGACTGCATGCGCCCACCGTGACGGAGTTTACTATGACAGTTGACAACAATTGTAGGACGATCACAATTTCGTTCGCTGGACTGTATCTAGTGTCCACTAGCTCCGTGTAGAACGGACATGGAAGCTGGTGCGTAGTTATTGTGACGTTCTCGATCCGAATGTTCGCCGGTGTCAGAGTGGTAATGATACTGTAGGAACAGACACCGCCTTGCATGAAGACCGCGCAAAAGGCGGACACAAATCGACCGAATTTTGCATTTTGCAGCATCACCTCACGATTGCGTGTTGTTCCCACGTACTGCCAATCGGCACGCATATGGTCCACGCACTTGCGTATCTTACAGCTACGCATCAATAATGAACAATAGTTCGCGCCGCCCATCAGCCAGTGTATCATCGGACCGAAAGCCTTCAACTTTAGATGCACATCCGGCTCAAATATGATATATAACGCGCACGGCACCACCGTGAAGGCGATCAGAGAATGACAGACAAATTGGATACCACGTGATAGCACCTTATCGGCGATACCAGCGTTGGTCCGTGGCCAAGCACCGATTGGTTTTAGGAACCAGCGATTCAATTGAATACTGTACTCGTTGTCCTGTTGATACGCGACGTTGCGCGTAGAGGACACACGGAAGGAATACGACATAGTGATTGGAATGTCGACGAACTATTGAGCGATAATATCGCGATGGAAGAAACATCAAGTCAATCTCAGCGCTTGCGCATTTTTCTAACTTTTTTTTTTTAAGGAGTATAGTTAGCTTAAGAGACAGAGTTTTATATTTTCCAGAGTGAAGGGGGTAGAGGCGATCGATACGGGTGCAAGTTGCGTTGATTAATCTGTAGTTATTGTACACTCTATTCTACTTAGATGCACGATAGGAAAACAATCCGCATGGAGCGAGGTATTATATGTAGTTTACATTTTATATTATATTTTTTACTCTTTAATATTCATAAAATTATTTCTTGATAATTAAAAATTTCTTACTTTGACGAAATGTGTATATGTACAATAAGAAATTTTTTACCAAGAAGTGAACACCGTCATTAAAAATATAAATATTATTTCAGATTGCATTCGGTTGATTTTATGTTGCGTATAGTGCCAAATAATATTTTAAAGAAGAGTATACAAAATAAAAGGTATATTGTTTAACAAATATTTTAATAATATTTAATAAGTAACGTTTTCTATTTCTTAAAAACATTTCTGTTTTTTTCTTGATACATATCAGATAACTAATTGACATTTATTTGCAACCTTATTGATTGCATTATTTATTAATATGTACACTTTGGATAAGAATTTTATATACTTAATGTACGCAGCATGTTAAAGTAAGCGACCGACGTTTTAATCACCTGTTAATTGTACGAATGATGTACAAATCATATTCTTATAAACACATACAATAAACATTGATATTATGTTACTCACGTTTCCAAAAGTAGTGAAAGACAGCTCGAAGATATTTCCGGCGGTAAATTTGATTGATGTATTGGACATAGCGATCATTAACACAATGTCGAGGCTTTTTCTTCCAGACATACGATACCAGTCGATTGTGTATGTTACCTCACCGATTTTTTTGTACTATTTATAGAATTGCTTTTTTAATTTTTTTCTATACAAAATGTAATATCAGCCAAACGGACTA